AACGCGTGGTCACATGCCACTATGGACACTCGTCAAAGAAAAATCGCCGAACTCGTCTGGTGAATGAATGCCAACTCACAAAATTACGCAAGCAGTGGGGTTTGTGATGACGAGTTTTCCACCCTAAAAAGCACCATTTGTAGGAGTGTTCTAAAGGAATTAGAGTCGCAAGCTAGGAGCCGATGAGTCCTGAGAGTCATTGTCTTCTGACTCCTGGGCGAAAGAGGCCACTGATTGCACACAAGGTCCAAAATGTTACTGAACATTGAATATGTTGTTGTTACCCGATGAATTAGAAAAGGGACAAATAAAAAATTGTCGAAGATCATCTTGGCGATCTATAAGCGACGAGAGTCTTCAAGTTCAGTTATCTCTCAGTTCTTACTCATTAGTTTGCTTTCAGAAGCTTTACTTTTCACCAACTTCTAGGGGAAAACCGGTGCTTGAAGCTCGATCTTCGAGGGGTGGATGCTGTCATAACACAGTTGGAGTCCAGCATTTACGTTACTTCAGGCAAAGGTTTCATTTTACTCACCATCGACATCCTTGAAGCCGTACTCATAAGCCAAGTCATAAGTCATTTGTATTGTTCCGGACTTCCTGATAACTTTTTTGTCAGACGCTAGAGCAACGATAGCTTTGCCAACGAACTCAGCAGATTCAGCAGACTTGAAAGATTTGTCGATGGCTTCCTGTAAAAAAACAAGAACACAGTGCGACTTCATTCTACTTCATTTTCCGCCAGCAGAATCAAACAACCGCTTGATTTCAGTGGAACCATAAAGTATAAAGATTAGCATACGGACTCAAGAAAACTGTAGGCAGAAAGATGAGAATACGTAGGAATGTGACTTGCAGGTACAGAAGTTCTGATAAAGTTGTTTACGGCCGGAAGTTTTCTGGTACCCACAAAATCCCGACCCTAAAGGGGTCTGCCATCGATTATGGTTTGAGAAAGGGCAACTTTTCCCAAGTTCCAGCATAAAAACATGGCAGAGAAAGCACATGTATTCTTCGAGTCACCCGAATAATCTCAAGTCTCAGGGGTTCCGAGCTATTTCAGTAAAGCTCAGATCCTATTCACTAACGGTAACGTGACGTATGCAAATTTCAGCGCAATTCTGCTTAGAGCATCAGCCGGCATCACCATCTTTTTTTCCGAGAAAAAGTTTGTCGATGTTCGCTATGAACGCTACCCAAGAAAAAAGACACCGCAAGATACTTAAGCAATTGAAAAAGGGGTTGCAGTCAAATGCATAGGCAAAAGTAAGCAGCGATTTAGCACCATAACGCCAGGGAAGGAAATGAAAAGGACGGAAGATGTACTTTCCGGACGGCATA